AAATTGTCCTCAGCAGGGCGTTTTTGGCGACGGTCGGTTACCTGGTCCGAAGTTCCGGGATCACCGATATTTGCGGGGGTGTTCGCCTCGCGAGTTGGTGCAGAATTGGCGGGAGTCATTGCCGATAGGTTACGCTGCAAAATGTCGGTTAGTAATGTCGATGGTGCCCTGAAGCGTGGAAGTGACTGAGTTTTCGCCAGGTTGGACGAGAACAAAAAACAAGAACTAGGAACTCAAATGAGGGAAACTCAAATGAGTTGAACTAGAAATGAAGAACGTGGGTGGGTGAGGCCGAGAGGCCTCACGTTCCTCTTTTGAATGCAAAAGAGGGTTAGGTGTGCTTCGCCGCTGCCTTCGGTGCGTTGGCTCGTGCTACACTATCACAATCAGGCCCCCAGAAGTCAGGAAAATTTTCCTGATTCAGGAAAAAAACAGGGTGTTGAGGGGTACCAGTCCTGATTTGCTGGGGTTTTGTTTTTGGCATTTCCTGAAATTTCAGGGTTTTTTTGTAAGGGAGATCTGTTAGCTCAGTTTTTTTTTGTAAGCGATCCTGAAATTTCGGACTTGTATCGAGCATGGGTTCTGAGGCTCTGCGAGGGAAGAGATTCCCTCCGCCCCTGCAATCTCGTCGCCTCCCCCCCCCCCCCACTCAGCCCTCCCCCCTCTCCCCCCCACCAATTGTCGATTCCTTTCCTGCCCATCCCCCAATCTCGCCCAACGCGCAAGAATTCGCTACGAATTCCCAGCACCCTCAACAATCAAGACTTGAACACACATAATCCATAAACTAAAACATGTATAGAAACTTTGAGAAATCAGGATTTTTTTTTTTAAGTAATTCTGATGGCTCATGTTTTTTTTTGGGGGGACCCTGAAAATTCAGAATTTTTTTAAGGGAGAATCCTGATGGATCAGGAAGCCTCAAAACCAATCTAGGGCCCTGATCACAATACACATTTTTAGAAAGCGCTACACGCTTTCAAAAAAATACATTTAGCTGCTTCCGGTAGCTGCTGGAATGGGGCAAACCTAGGAGACAGAATACTTGTTACAAGAGTGTTCTTCATCCGTTTTGATAACTTGAGTGAACTGATTGCGAAATTATGCAGTCTTTCAAGATGGATGCTAGTCATCATTTGCATCTGCTGCAGCCTTGTTCTCGATAAACCCTCCTCCCCCAGCTTCACCCTTGTCCTCCTCACCAGTTGCGCCTTGTTGCCCTTCCTCCTCATCCCCCATAGTGAGCTTTTGCCTCTTCCACTTATAAGCCGCCTCCAGAATCTTGAGATTAGGTTGGTTAGCTGCCTCGTCAGGGAAGATGTAGTCATAGTACTCCTCAAACCTGGCATGGAGCAAGCATTGCAAGGCATAATGGAAATCAGAATTTCAACGACGTGTGGCAGGCATACAAAGGAGAATGCCACTGCAGCACAAAACATCACCGCAACAGGAGCACACCATAATGCAAGGGCTACGCTACTATCAAAGAAATGAAAGAAAAAGGAAAAGGCGAAACAGCAGCACAAGACGAGTTTGCATTGGACGCACCCAGCAGGAGTGCCATCCTCTGTCGTGATTGGCCGCTTGCGCTTCACACGACGTGGCATCTTCTTCTCGACCAATCCCGGGTCTCCGTTCACGCCTGCTCCCCTCTCCATCTCCCGCCACGCCTCCAGCAGCATCACCCGCTCCTCCTTCTGGTCGGCGGCGTTCGTCCTCATGTGCTCAAACGCCCGCTCATACACCTCTGCATGTAGGCATGTGTGCAGATATGAGCAGGTCCTTAAAGCCCAGGTACCAAATTAGTCAGGCAGCATCAAACCGGGCCCAGTTTGATGCTGACCGTGCTCGCGAAATACCCAAGAAAACAAAAAAAAACCAACTGTACATTCGCCACAGTGAGGGGCAAAATCGAGGTTGGAACATCTACCGTGGAAATAAACTTTGCAAACTGGGCCCAGTTTGATTCGTGCAGTTTCCACCGTTAGATCGGGCTTGCCGAACCCAACTCCCGTCAAACCCTGCTCTCGCCAGGTTTCCAATCAACGGTTGTAAGTGTGCGTATAAATTGGGACTTCATGTGTCCCTGCGTCTCAGCCGTCCGATCCGTGTGTGGGCCATCTTGAACTCACCACAAATCAAACTGGGCCCACCTTGCATACGAACCCTGCGCGAAGTAACAGAATCACGGTTTTTCGCATCCAATAAAACGATTGTTTGTTTTTTACCCAACCAGCGCAAATTCTGCCCGTTGACTTGCGTGGACTAATTTGGGATCTGATGAAAAATCTGGGCTTAAAAAGACAAAATCAGGACATGATGAAAAATTACCATGCCTGGGACATCATGCATTAGACATTATGCGTGATTTGAGCACTAACCTCATCGCTATTGCACCCCATACGCGTTTGCACCCCATACACACTTACCTTTGGCCCTCACTACTCAATTCTTTGGTTGCTCTGCCAAAACTGTCTCATCCCCTTCCCTGCCCCTGCCCTCCCTTCCCTCCAGCTGCGTGCGCTCACAACCCTCTCACGCAGCTACACCCTCCCCACTGTCAATCCCCTCCGAGACTCACATCGGGCAGTGACCGCTATCATTGGACTGCTCTGCCACAACCAGCTCGTCGGACTCCATGCCCTCCTCCTCTGCTCACTGCTGCTCACTCACCCCTCTGTACCCATCCAAACTCACCTCTGGCCCTGACCACCCGATCCTTGGACTGGTCTGCCAGCATGAGGTCGTCCATCTCTCTGCCCTCCTCCTCCGCCCGTGTCTCCTCCTCCACCGCCACCTGCGACTCAAACTGCCCGTAGCTCATCCACACCTGGGGGCGTGGGATGGGAGTGGGGAGATGGAGGAATGCGGGCGCATGAGGAAGCCATCTAGTGATGCAGCAACTTTCCCTCCTCTGCTCGCATCCTCCACAGGCACCTACGACTCAAACTGCCCGTAGCTCATCCACACCTGGGGGCGTGGGATGGGAGTGGGGAGATGGAGGAATGCGGGCGCATGAGGAAGCCATCTAGTGATGCAGCAACTTTCCCTCCTCCTCTGCTCGCATCCTCCACAGGCACCTACGACTCAAACTGCCCGTAGCTCATCCACACCTGAAAGGAGGGAAAAGAGGCATGCAAGGGGTTACCAGGTTACAGTAAGGGGTGGAGGAGAAGGGTTACAGATACAGGCAGGGCGGGGAACGGTCATGGGGAATTCATGTCTTTAAAGGCAGGGGAGAGGAGGTATGGCAAGGTATGGCAAGTTATGGCCAGGCATGGACAGGTATGGCAAGCAGGCTTGGCATACTTTGATACACCAGCTACCTAGTTACAGACATGCAGGGTTACCTTAACGTGCTTGGTTCGCAACAGCAGCCATTGATATAGTTGCAAACCCATACCAGAAACACTCTACGCCTGTTACCCGGTTCAAACAAGGCATCGCTACAAACAAGCAACAGTACCTTGACGAGCTTGGTTGCTTATAACAAATGGCTGCCATTACCTAGATGTGTGTGGTTGCTTATAATGAACGGTTGCCATCACCTTAATGTGCTTGATTGCTTTTAACGTAGGGTTACCATTACCTTAACTTGCTTGGGTTCTTACAACAAAGGGCTACCATTACCTTGACATGCTTGGTTGCTTATAACGAAGGGTTGCCATGACCTTGACGTGCTTTGGTGCTTATAACGAAGGGATAGCATTACCTTGACGTGTTTGGTTGCTTATAACGAAGGGTTGCCATTACCTTGACGTGCTTGGTTCGCTCCAGCAGTCTCTCATACAGCTGCCTCGTGCGCTCGCTCTCCCCCTCCGCTATTTCGAAGTCAATGTACACCTGCAGGGGGGCGGGGGCAAGAGAAGGGAAGGCGACAGGAGGACAGGGTGGCAACAGGGGTGGACGAGGGGACGGATGGGGGTGAACCATACAGCTGCCTTGCCCGCTCGCTCTCTCCATGCGCTATCTTAAAGACAATGTAAGCCCGGGGAGGAGACACTGAATGTAAGCCTGGGGAGGAGACACTGAATGTAAGCCTGGGGAGGAGACACTGAATGTAAGCCTGGGGAGGAGACACTGAAGACAAGGGAGAGAGCATGGCACGGTGGGGGAAGGGCAGCAGCAGTAGAGAGAAAGAATCGTGAGGATAAGGGAACAGAACCAAGGTGACTTCCGAGTCACCTCAAAAGTCACCCTTGTTTTGAGACGCCGCAGAATGAAACTTGTTTCACAAATACTCGTGGGGATAACGGAACGGAACCTCCTTTGAGCGTGCACGGGTGAGCGAAGCTCACATGCACAATCAATCAAGCACCCGCCCTCCAACACACCAACACAGAAAGCTTACCCGACTCCACACTCCCGGTGTGTTTCGAGTGAACTGGAAACACACCTCAATCAAGCACCCACCCATTAGCACACCGATACAGACTGTTTGCCCCACTCCACTCTTTCCTTCTACAGGAGCTCACGCGTGTCCAATTAAGGCCGTCATATCGTCAACTCTAAAGAGCCATCTCCTGCCCATCTCCCCGAACCTCCGCTCCACCTCACATGCTCACCGGCTCACCCACACACCAGTACAAGCACAGACAAGTGCACTGCTCCACACGGCCACACACGTTCGCCCTCCCACCTTCCACAGCAGCTCAGGCGTGTCCAGCAGTGGTTGCCCAATCGCCAGCTCGTACACTGCTCTCGCCCGCTCCGTCTCCCCCAGGCTCCTCTCCAGCTCAGCAAACTTGGCCCATGCGGTACAGCTGGCGGGCTGCCATTGGAGGTACTTCTCGTAGAGCATGCGGCAGCGGTCGATGTTGCCTAGCTGCAGCTCCATCTCGATGTACGCCTTGAAGATCTGCCCACGGTTGCACCCACATGGGGAGGGGGGGATCACAGGGGGGTCCGGGACATCAGGTCACCATTGGAAGTACTTGTCGTGGGGCATGCGGCAGCGGTGGATGTTGCCCAGCTGTAGCTCCATCTCAATATAAGCCTTGAAGATCGGGGGAAGTGGGGTGGAGGGGGAAAGGGGAGGACAAGAGAGCAGGGGCGAGGAGAGAAAACGGCTGGCATTGGAGGTACTTGTCGTAGAGCATGCGGCAGCGGTCGGTGTTGCCTAAAGCTAGCTACAGGGCGATACGAGAGCAATCACCTATCCTTTACGCATGTGTGGTGGCAAGTAGCTTATATTTGGCCCAGTTTTTAGGCGCCTCAAGAAACGGCTTACCTTATCTTTAGGAGCCACCCCGATCGCATGGCCCAGGATCTGCCTGGCGGCAGGGAGGCGCTGCTGACGGATCTCAAACTGGGCGGCGAGGAGCCAGATCTTGGCGAACGAGAACTTGCCATGTGGAATGAGCTTCAGACACTCCCGGTACACCTCCCTCGTTCTCTCCACGTCCCCTGCTTCTAGTTCCTCATACAGAGCATAGTTGATCCTGCGAGAGGGAGGAGGGGGGAGGGAGGGGAAGGGAGAGGGGAAGGGGGGGAGGAAGCGAGATGGCGGTTGAATTGGGTTGAATGCGAGAAGGCGGTGTGACTCCTCATTCCTCCCTCCCGATGCACCTCCCATGCTCTCTCCACGTCCCCTGCTTGCAGTTCCTCGGACAGGGCATAGTTGATCGACACACAAGGTGGAGGGACACGCAGGGAGAGGGAGAATCTAATACAGCCGTCTTCACTCCCAGCAAACCTGCCGTGGTCCCTCAATTTTCCCCTGCTTCCATTTCTTTGTACAATGCGCACTTGATCCTGAGAGGGGAAGGAGGAGGGAGAGGGGTGGGAGGGGGGGTTACATTGAACAAGACTCTGCGTTCGCGGTGCAACTCCCATGTCTCCATGTACCCTACATCCAGCTCTCCGTGCAGAGCAGAGTTGGTTATGAGAGGGAGGAACGGGGGGAGGGAAAAGGTGTGAAGAACAGAGGAAGAGCATCGGTGAGCGAGAGCTGAAGCGATGGTGCCATGTGGAATGAGCTTCAGACACTCAAAGAGGATCAGATCAATCAAAACACCTCAGGGTTGAGCCACTAGTCAAACCACGCATCAAACCGACCGCTTATCGTCAGCCGCATGTGGCAAACGAGAACTTGACACGTGGAATGAGCTTCAGACATTCGTGGTAAGCCTCAGAGTTGGGCGACTCGTGAAGCCCTCTTCTACGTTTAAGCACTTGTAAGTTGTAACAGCCGCTGCCACACAGCATCATGGCGCCCAAGTGGTTCTCCCCATAAGCGCCACACACTTGCAAAAAACCTCGGAGACGGGCCACTCGTGAAACGCGCTTTTTGTCAGCCGTCAAGTGGGCAGCTACACATGTACTGCTAAGGCCATCCACTCGCCAGAGGTACAAGTGTCAGTGCTCATCACTTCAACTCACACAGTAAGCCCATCACACCACTCACCAGAGGTAGGTGCACCGCTGCCAGAACCACTCCTCGTCAGCCGGGGGGACGTTGGCAATCACCTATCATAGACCTCTTCAAACCTTAAGTCAGCAGGCATCAGTGCATCAAATAATCAATTTATGTACTCACCAGAGGTATATGTACCGCTGCCAGAACCGCTTCTCGTCAGCAGGAGGAACATTCGCAATGGCTCGCTCATACACCTCGCGCACGCGCTCCGTGTCCCCGACGCTCTCCTCCAGGCGCACGTAGTCAAACCACGCGTCGTAGTTCCGCGGGTTCCTCTTTACCTCCTCCTCATACTCAAACCGTCTCTTCCCCACCACCACATCCTCAATCCCCGCCCGGTCCCCGTGCTGCTTCTCGAAAACCACAAATTTTTTGTACAGACTCTCTGCCTGCGCTTTCGGGACGTGGTCCAGGGCGTACTTGTAGATCGCCCTCGCGCGCTCGGTTTCCTTGCATATTCTCTCCTCAAACTCGGCAAACGCAACGAAAAGCTCCTCGTTCTGCCCGTCCTCGCCGAGCATTTCAACTGCCCGCTCGTACACCTCCCGGGCCTTGGAGACCTCGCCCTGCTTCACCTCGAACTTTGCAAATCGGATCCAGGACTTCACAGTGGGCAGGCACATGGTGTAGCGCTCAAACACGGCACGCGCACGCGCGATCTCGCCGTAGCGCAGCTCGAACTTGATGTACGCCGACCACCCGTGGTGGTCCGGCTCCCACTTCATCCACCGCTCCAGCACCTGGCGCGCCCCTGCCACGTTCCCCAGCATCTCCTCCATGTGGATGTACTTGTACCTGCGAAGGCGGAAGGAGGTGGAGGTGGAGGTGGGGGTGGGAGTCGGGGGATGATGGGGGGAGCGAGGGGACCTGCTGGGCGCCAGCGACGTTCCCCAGCATCTCCTCCACGTGAAGGGGGGGGAGAAGGGTAAGAAGGGTTAAGGGCAGAAAAAACTTGATCAATGAATGCAGACCACCTGTGGTGGTCCAGCTCCCACAGCAACCAGCATTCCACGACTTGCTGTGCCCCTGTCACATTTCCCAGCATCTCCTCCATGTGGATGTACTTGTACCTGTGGGGGGGCAGGGCAGACAGGGCGGACAGGATTGCAAGAGTATAGGAGAGCAACATGGAAGCTCGAACTTGATGTATGTGAACCACCCGTGGTGGTCTGGCTCCTCCACCGCTCGAGCATCAGGCAGGTGCGAGCTGCATTCCCCAGCACGTCCTCCATGTAAATGTACAAGTACTTAAGAAGGGTGGGGTGGGACGAGCAGAACCGGAGGGAAGGAAGACAGGGCTCCCACTTCATTCAGCCCTCCACAGCTTGCCGGGCGCCTGCAACGTTGCCCAACAATTCCTTGACATGAAGGAAACGGAGGCGCCCTAGAACGTGCTGCTCCTGGGGCGCATATGGAAGAAATAGTGGTCCTCCATATGCATGTTCTTGTAGTTGCAGGGAGGGGGACGCAAGAGGGTGGCAGGACGGAAGCAGGGAAACCGCCATAGGGCACATGGCGGGCAGCCTCAGACAATGGGGCAACCAGGCAGTATAGGCTCTCGAATCCAACCCCACTCACCACAGCTGGTCAATGCGGCGCAGCAGGGAAACAGACCTGTGGCACACGTGCTTCTTCCTCGCATGCTCATGCATCCGCCGCACTGCAGCTGGCAAATGAGATGCAGTCAAGACACCCAACCCCCCACTCAGCACAGCTGGTCGATGCAGGGCAGCAGGGGAACAACCGCACGGCTATATCACTGGGCACTCCGCTTCATAAGCACCACTCACCAGTCAACACAACACAACAACTGCTCTCCCCATAGCTGGTCGATGCGAGGCAGAAAAGGCACCGCCCTGTGCCACACGAGCCTTGGCATGGCGCTGCACTGGCATCATCCGGTCGCACAGCCTTTGGGATATCAGAGATCCACCTGTGCGCACTTGGCTTGGAGTTCCCACTCACCACAGCTGGTCGATGCGGGGCAGCAGCGACACGGCCCTGTCCCACACGTTGCGTGCATGGTTGACAAAGCGGTTGCGCATCTCCATGTCCGCATACTTGAGCCATATGGACACATTCCTATAAGAGGTGAGGGGTGGGGGGAGGGGTGAGGAGGGGGTGGGGAAGGAAGACTGAGTGAGGAACATCATGGAAAGCGGCTATGCCTCTCATGTCCGCGTGCTCGAGCCAGATAGAGACATTACTGGGAGCAATGGGGGGGGGAGGAAGGGGTGAGGGGAAGAGCAGGGCTGGGCGCATCATATGACGCGGTTCTGCAACTTCAAATGGAGACGTTTCTGTAGAAAAACGGGGAGGGGAGAGAAGTGGGGAGGGGGAGGGAAGCGGAGCAGGAAGGGGTGGAGGGGAAGGGGTGGAGGGGAAGGGGCGGAGGGGAAGGGGCGGAGGGGAAGGGGTGGAGGGGAAGGGGCGGAGGGGAAGGGGGGAAAGGGGGGACCAGTGAGAGCCCATCACACGAAGCGCCTGCGCATCTCCATGCCGGCGTACTCGAGCCATATGGAGACGTCCCTGGGAGCAAAGAGGGAAGAGGAAGGGCGGGGGGGGGGGGGGTAAGGGGAGAGGAACCAGGTAGGTAGGACGCATAGCACAAAGTGGTGGAATCCGTGTCGTTCGGTTCCGGGTTAGATCTTTCAGAGGTTCTGGAGTGTTGTAGTCGGATCCGAGCGTGGTACAGCGGGGAGAGGGTTTGAAGAGTAGGCGTTCGACACGCTTTTTACACCCAAGTCCTTCTGACTGACCTCCCATGGTCCTCCCACATCGTCTTGCTTATCACACCCACCTGTAGTCCACCTCCAGTGCTCGCTCCCACACCGATCGCGCCCGAGCGAAGTCCTTCTGGCTGACCTCCCACGTGGCGTACTTCACCCACACGCTCGTGTTCCACCGCACGCGCCGAATCAAGTCCTCGAACTCCTTCCGCTTCCGCAGCCGGTACTCCCCCAGCTCCTGCGCGTCGGTGATTTTCTGCTTCGGCGCCGCCGTTTCGACCTCCTGCCGCTCGCGCGCTTCGCGGAGGATCTGCTCGGCCGTGATTTGGACCGGCGCGGGAGTTTTGTTCTTCACGCGCGTGGCGCGCGGTAGGCGGATCTCCGACTCGCGCTTCGTCATGTACGCGAGCCGCGCGTCGGCCTCTTTAGACGCCATGGCGGGAAAGGATTGATGCTATGATTCAATAGATGAGTCGATGGATGAACCGACTGAGACTAGAGTCTAGGTCGTGGTGATTAGGGTTTCCTAAATGCGAGTGGTAGCGCGACTGCAAGAAGTGGAGCTCCGGGAAAACGAATGCGAGATTCGCAGAGCAACGGAAGCTAGCCTAGCTGAGAGGATGAATCATATATCTCTGCACCTTTCACATTGAGCTACTGAGCGCTTAGGTAGCATGCCCAGCCAGGCTTGTGACTACAGGCTACTGTACCTTGAAACTAATAACATCAGAGACAAGCATGAGGCGAATTTGGTGAACCTGAATTGAGGCGAGTCGAGATTCCATACATTCAGATAAAGCTCGTTACAGCGAAACGAGAATACGATTCAAGGCATATACTTCAATCTTAGAGCACGTGGAATTTGGGACCTAAGGGGTTCACATCAACCCATGGCATCACGTCAAAAAAAATTGTGCATACAGTTTTTTTTAATCGGCACTAAATTTCCATAAATACTGTAATTATATATACCAACTGTAAGGGGACTCCCTAAAACGCTACTCCCGATGTGGGACAGAGTCCAACCCTACATCCCCATGGTCAATAGTCGCTTATGGCTCCTCCCTTAGTTCCCTTCTATACATGAATAGCAAGGTAATTGCCTAATTAGCTCACACGCCCTGCCCCGGGTTTGTGTTGTGATATAATTAATACATAGCATTTCTGTAAATCGATTATGTGTAGTTAGTGTCGAATCATACTGTAGAAGATAGCGCTCGTCATAGGACAGTCGTTTCAGTCACGCGAACAGTCGCACCCCTTCATTATCATCTAGGGCGCATAGTGTCAAACATGTGTATTTGTTATGTTTGCATAGACTGTATAGGGTCATCTCTTAGAGGATACAATACTTAGGTATATCTATCTGTACTCTCACTCTACCTATTATTCACTTCTCTCAGTCTGATATGGTATCACGCGTAGGTTAGGATCCCCCCACCTATCGCTTCCGCTCGTCCCCTAGCTAGGCCCCGCCGTGCCTCCCCCCCCCCTAGCCCCGTCGCGACCCACTGGGCCCCGTCGTGCCCATAGCCCTGCCGCGCCCCTCCTGGGCCCCGTTGCGACCCCCTAGCCCCGTCGCGACCCCCTAGCCCCGTCGCGACCTCCTAGCCCCGTTGCGACCATCCCGGGCCTTGCTGCGCCCCTCGCCCCGTAGTGCCCCTCCAGGGCCCCGTAGCGCCCCTCCAGGGCCCCGTCGCGCCCCTCCTGGACCCCTCCTGGGCCCCGTAGTGCCCCTCCTGGGCCCTGCAACGCCCCTCCTGGGCCCCGTAGCGCCCCTCCTGGGCCTCGTCGCGCCCCTCCTGGGCCCCTCCTGGGCCCCGTAACGCCGCTCCTGGGCCCCGTAGCGCCCCTCCTGGGCCCCGTCAAGCCTCCAGGCCCCGTCGCGCCCTGCCCGGCCCCGTCGCCCCCTGCCCGGCCCCGTCGCACCTGCCCGGCCCCGTCGCACCCGCCCGGCCCCGTCGCACCCTGCCCGGCCCCGTCGCCACCGCCCGGACCCGTCGCACCGGCCCGGCCCTGTCGCACCCGCCCGGCCCCGTCGCACCCGCCCGGCCCCGTCGCGCCCGCCCGGCCCCGTCGCGCCCGCCCGGCCACGTCGCACTCGCCCGGCCCTGTCACACCTGCCCGGCCCCGTCGCGCCCGCCCGGCCCCGTCGCGCCCGCCCGGCCCCATCGCACCCGCCCGGCCCCGTTGCACCGGCCCGACCCCGTCGCACCCGCCCGGCCTCGTTGCGCCCTGCCCGGCCCCGCCGCGTTCGCCGGGCCCCGCTGCACCGGCCCGGCCCCTGCGCTCATCCCTGCCCCGGCCCCTTCATCCTCACTGGTACGGTTCCCCCCCTCCCTGCACCGCCCTGCTCTGCACTGCACCGCACTGCACCGCCCCGCATCGCACTGCACTGCCCTGCCCCGCACTGCACCGCCCTCCACTGCTCTGCTTTGCACTGCTCTTCACTGTACCGTACTGTCCCGTCCTGCACTGCCCCTGATGGCGGCGGAGCTTCGCTTCGACGCTGAAGGCCAGCCTCTGGAGTTCGAGGCGTGGCTTGCCGACCTCCGGCGCCAACTCACTGGCCAGCGGCAGGATGGTGAACCGCTTTCCGCACACCTTGACGGTACGCTCCCCTGCCCAGACCCCCTTGCTATTCTGCCCGCTGACTCCACACCCACTGAGCGCGAGTCTACTGCTGCCACTGCCTGTGCGCGCTCTGTCTGGCTTTCTCGCGACGCTGTCGCCCAGCTTGCCATTAGCAACGCCCTTCCCCCGTCCGAGCGCCCTCGCTTTAGGTCCCTCACTACTGCTCAGGCATACTTAAATGCTGTCATCAAGCACTACTCCACCCCTCCGGCTGCCTCGGTGGGTCGCCTGATCCTCCCGATGCTCTTTCCTGACCTTGCATCTTTCCCCACTGTCTCTGACATCGCTGCCCACCTGCGCTCGATAGATGAGACCTGGCGCGCTGCCTGCACTGACTCACAGCTTAGAGCCCACCAGCCGCCCATTACCTCTACCCTTTACCTGCTTGCCACCCGCCTCCCTGACCGCCTTGCTGTCGCCCGCGACCGCTTCCTTAGCATTCACCCCGCAGACCTCACCCTCGCTGACTTTGTAGACACCCTAACTGTGATTGAGACCCGCCACCGCTCCATCGCCCAGGCGAGTGGTACCGTGCCGGTCCCTATCTTTCAGGGTTGTGCCCCCGCTCAGTGTACCTTCTCCGACGGCTCTGCCGCTGTGGCTGATACTGCTGCTGCAGCGCAGTTTCGTTCGGGGAAGGGCCGCCGCCCCAAGGTTGGGCGCGGCGGAGGAGGCGGGGGTGCGGGAGGGGGTGGTGGTGGAGTCGCATCGTCTGGTGCTGGAGCGGACGAGGGGACCCTGCCCAGTCAAGTTGAGCCGCCGCCTCTGCAGTCGCAGCAGCAGCAGCAGCCGCAGCAGCCGCCGCAGACGAGGCAGACGAGTGTACTCCCGCCCGGGTGGCCCGGCGCTGGCGGTGGTCGGGCGCGTGGTGGTGTGCCGAGTGGAGGTTCTGGAGGCGTGCGTTGTCAGTACCAGATCCAGACCGGTCCTCGCTGCGGCTTCGTTTGCGGTAAGATCGGTCACTCCACTCCCCGCTGTTTTCGTCGCCTGGACGACCCGTTTCGTCAGCGCTTCGGCCCGTCGCCAGACCTCCCGGACTGGCACAGTTTGCTTAGTCGTAAGATTCAGATTTTTGACATGGACATGGATGCCATTGTTTCTGCTTTGCATGTGATGTATGCTGATGACTCTAGTGTGCTTCCCGCTTATTACTCACTGTCGGCTAGTGTAGGTGTGCCTAGCTTAGCCTCCCCTGCTGCGTCAGGCGTAGGATCCCCTGCTTTGTGTAGTCTTGGTGCTTCTGCCGTTGTTCCGTCGCCAGACGCCTCTGCTTCGCTTTCCTTCACCTTGGACTCCGGCGCTTCCCGGTGTTTCTTCCGCGACTCCACCACCCTGACGCCGCTTCCTGTTCTTGCTGCCGTTTCTCTTGCTGACCCCTCCGGCGGTCCGGTAGTCGCCCGCAGTTCCACCACCCTTCCCTGTCCGGCGGTTCCTTCAGGCACTCTCACAGGTCTGCATATCCCCTCGTTCTCCAGGAACCTAGTTGGTGTTGGCTGCCTCCAGGACCTTGGCGTCACCACTACGTTCCCTGGTCACGAGCGGTATGTTGTCTGTACCGAGGCCCCCACTGGTGCCCCCCTGTCCACATTCCCCCGGGACCCGGTGTCCGGCCTGTTCACTCTGGACACCGTGACCCCCCCGGCTGGAGCACTCCCTCAGGTGGCTGCGTCTACCCAGGTTGCTGCTGCCTGCTCCTGTCGGTCCCTCACTCAGCTGACTCTCCTTTGGCACCACCGCCTAGGTCACCCTGCGCTCCCGCGTCTACGTCACATGTCCCAGCACAGTCTTGTCCTTGGTCTCCCAGGTTCTCTCCTCGTTTCCCCCTACCGCCGCGCCGCTGCAGACCCTGCACCTGGACGTCTGGGGCCCCGCCCCCGTCCCTGGGGCGCGTCGAGAGCGCTACTTCCTTGTGCTTGTCGACGACTTCACTCGTTACACCACAGTCTTTCCCCTGGAGCGCAAGGCCGACGTGCCTGGCGCTCTCATCCCCTGGCTTGTCTCTGCGCGTGTCCACCGCGGTCTCCCTGTCTTGCGTCTTCACTCCGACCGTGGTGGCGAGTTTGCCTCAGGTGTCCTTGGTCGCTTTTGTCGTGCGGAGGGCATCACCCAGACGTTCACCCTACCGGACTCCCCACAGCAGAATGGGGTCGCTGAGCGACGCATCGGTTTGGTCATGGAGGTGGCTCGCACCTCCATGATCCATGCCGATGCACCCCATTTTCTGTGGTCGTTCGCTGTGCGCTACGCTTCTCACTAGCTTAACTTGTGGCCGCACCCTCAGCAGCCACAAGTTTCGCCGACCCGTCTTTGGACTGGGTCTCCTGGTGACGCGTCTGCGTTTCACGTCTGGGGCTGCCTTGCTCACGTCCGTGCCTCCGGCACGGACAAGCTCACTGCCCGCACCCTTCCCTGCGTCTTCCTCGGTTTTCCCCTTGACGCGTCCGACTGGCACTTTTACCACCCGCCGTCTCACCACTTCTTTCACTCTCGCGACGTCACCTTTGACGAGTCCGTCTCTTACTATCGTCGCTTCCCCCACCGCGGTCCCCCGGTTACCCCCCCCCTGTTCCTGGTCACTCCTTCCCCGGTAGTCCCTGCCCCTCCCCCTCCTCCTCCCCGTCCTGCCCCCTCTGGTGTGTCCCACGTCACCCCCCTTCCGTCGGTGGACCCGGTTGAGGAGTCTTCTGACTCTGGTGGCCCTCCTGTGCAGTCCTCGTCAGCCGCCCCTCCCCTGGCGTCCTCTTGTTCCCCGGGTCCTCGCCTCTCTCGTTACCGACCCGTCTGTTCCGGTCTCGTGCCTTGACGCTCTTGTAGCTGCGGTCGCTGACTTCGCCTCTACCCGCCGCCTTGACTACGCCACCGCTCTGGTCTCGGACCCTGCCTGTCCTCCGTCTGTCGGGGGTGCTCCTGCCCTTGGCAGTGACGTCCTGGAGGACCGCCAGTTCGAGCTTGCTTTCCTGTCCGAGGCTGCTCCCCATCTCTGTTCCATGCTAGTCCCTGAGGGTGACCCAGACGCTTTCGACATCCCGACCCCTCGCACTTACGCTG